GCCACGTAGAATTAAGGCAGTTCTGAAGGCGAAAGGGGGTCAAACACCGTATTAGTATGGTGTTCCTAATAATCCTTTAGGTGAGTGTATGTACTGTATACTTTTTGCACTTTAAGACAATTTGATATCGAAATTACCCGCCTTAGTCGCACAGAAATTGCGATGCGTCCTGAACAGGCTGTACGCGCTCCCGCGGATCGTAATCCGTTTCTGGCAGACAGTCACTTTTTGGCACAACAACTGCACAAACGCGGCATATACGATTGAGACCAGTCTGGTTGAAATCTGAAACATATGGTGGGGCAACTTCGCGCAGGTTCATAACCTAGTGTAGAGGGGAAGTGCCCTAAGACCCCACCCTAAGGCTGGAATAAACTCAAAATAGGGAACAGCTGTTTGAAAGACTGATGTACATCTGTGGCAGCTTTTTGACATTATCTGTCAAATATTTCTCTGTCATTAAAATTTGTTGGAATGCTGAAATATATAGGTTCTGTTAAAATGATTTCATTTACATGAAAATTTCAACAGATAATTGTAATTTTTCCCTTTTTGTAAAAAGCTGAAATACTGTATATACAGGCAAAAATGGAAGTAACTAAAGATTAGTTGTAGTATGTGATCTATTTATATGTTAGAAATTTAGGGAAAGTAAGAGATTTGCTACTTCTCTTATTGGAGCTTGTCTTCAAGATACTAGCTAACCTCAATACAAAGTCAATCCTTTCATCATAATAGAGAAAGATACAAATCTGTAATTTTGTTAAATGCCTGAATGGAGAAACCATTCACAGGAATGGTTTGCAAGTTTGCTTAGAGTGTAATGAAATAGTTTTGTAATTTATTAATTATTAACAATTTCTATCATTCAACTTATTATGCATTTTAAAGTAAGAACTGCTTTTTTCTTTTTTAAATTCACCAATCTAAAACAGAGGTCTTCAGAAGCTTGTGATGAAGAATATCATGTACGGACTGGGGGAGATGTACAAGGGAATGTTTATCAATGCACAAGTCAAAATCTTACAGAAGTTCATTCCTGAACTTTCTCCCAGTGATGTACTCAGGTAATAAATAGAATTTTGGAAATGTTATTTACTTTACTATTTTTCCTGCTAACTGGGTTTCAGCCTACACGATGTTCTAATAGCAAGAGATTCCATGATTAACCTATTATTCTGCATCTAAAGATACTGTTGTGGCTTTTAGGGGTCCTGCAGGTGTGAGAGCTCAGGCTCTGGACCGCAATGGCAACCTAGTGGATGACTTTGTGTTTGATGCAGGCCTGGGTGAAGTGGGAAGCAGAGTTCTTCATGTGCGGAATGCACCCTCACCTGCTGCCACTTCTTCTCTGGCAATCGCTGAGATGATTGCTGATGAGGTTGAGAGACGATTCACTCTATAGTATTTCAGGTTTCCAGTACTCGCTTATTTTGTAATGAGAGGACTGTCAAATGAACAACTTCTGGCGATTCCTAAGTGGGAATCAAATTATGTAAATGATTAAATGTGAAATAATTGGATAAATGTAAAGTATATGTAGTTCTAAATGATTTTGAGATCGATGGCTGTACACTTCAGAATGTCTTCAGAATATATGTATATTTTTTTTGAGTGGATCTTCACACCTTTTGCAACATTGTGGGTTCAGTGGGCTTAAGAAGTTGATACTCAATTCATTTATATTAATTTAGTATCTCTGGAACAATGGGTTAGGAATTGTTTAGCAATCGTTTACAGTTTATCAAAGTTTTCATAAGATTATATACTGTTCTCCAGTTAATGTGTATTTGGGCTTTATAATATTTTTGTTTTTACATAAAACGTAATTGAATACTATTCAACCTAACTGGTTTGTGTAATTGTATGAAATACTTTATGTAATGTACTGTTTCATTTGAGATGCTAGAATGTTAATTGCATTACCACAATATGTAAAAATGACTTCCTAATGAGAATTGTTTATTATGTAGGTTATGGTGTGTGTTATGTACAGTAAATGACCATAATACATTTTCATGTTTCAAGGGTAGTCAAAGCTCTGAAAAATAAACTTTACTGTTCCTCCACACTATAATAAAATGCCACAGGAAGATGATCCCTGCAGGCTTCAAAGCTCTTTACAATCCATCAGTCTCTTGTTCTGTCCTTATAAGTTTTGAACTGTGCTTAACTGTTGACTTTGAATTCCAGTTTGCCATTCTCTGATACTTGGTTATTACCAGGTTGTTACAGCCAATATAGCTTATTGTACATTTTGTATATACAGTCATGCACCACATAATGGCTTTCCTCTTCTGGTGTTGTTTCTTCACTATAGGTATGCATGTTTGTATGTATGTATACCGATGAGCCAAAGCATTATGACCACCCTTATGAGAAGATCATAAAATTGGTACATGTCAGTGTTTGAAACAGTAAGGCCTGTAAGGTGCTTACAGTCAGCTTTGGTGAGTACCTATGGAGAATGGTCCAAGGAGAGAGAAACTATGAACCACCGATGGTATGTTGGGCAGCCAGGACCAATCAATGTAGGATGTGAACGACGGCTATCGCAACTGGTACAAACCATCAGAAAGGCTAATGGGGCACAAATGACAGATACTACTCACATGATCATTACCAAAGTTATGTCACAACACAAAGTGCATGATGCCCTGTTGCTTATGGGGTTGCGTATAGCTGCAGTGCCTATGCTAGCCCCTGTCCATCATATGTTTCTGAATACAATGGTAGGTTTTGTCTCCTTTGTTTATGTGTTCTGTGGTTAGGGACTGTATTTTCACAGGTTTGTCAGGAGTAGTCGTGTTTGGCTGGATGGGTGTTTCAGTGAAATTGTGACTTACAGCAATTGCTGTGTGGGAACAAAATTCTTTTATGTGCCACATAATTGGTCAATAAATTGTGATTCTAATTCTGATTGCTGTTTAGACTGAATTCAATGTGATGCATACAACAACTAGATATAACGATTACTAGAATTGGGCTGAATTTTGAATTGCACTAAATGTGACCCAAGGGTGGTGTTAGGGATGTTCTTATCTCCATTATCCCCCACCCCCAAAATAAATGTACTATAATTAGTTTACATGTGTGTTCTCATTCATCCATCCATCCATCCATCTCATTTTTGTTATTTTTTTTTATTAAAAGGTCTTTTCATCATTATTATTGTTAAACTCTAGTGATGCTTCTGTTGTAACCCATAGAAGAGGTCTTACAAAAAAAGTTGAGTTCCTTAATCAAGAAAATGATGTATACTGGGCATATTCAGGTCAAACAAAGGAGGTTCCTGGACTTCTGCTAAATACCACAATGTTTCAATTTCATACACAGTAAATTTGCCTGAGTAAAATTTACTCAATTTGAAGAAAATTTTACTCTGTGCCAGATAACATTTGGTCCCTCTCTGAAAAGAGTAAAAGTTACTCTTTTGATAGAATTGTTTTTCCAGAGTTAATTATGCTCAATGTAGTGTTAATATTTTACTCTCTCCTGCGATACTTGACTCTATTTAGTGTATTTTCAAATCAAATCTCGTCCTATTTTACTCAGTTTAGAGCTACAAGAAATTGACTCTTCTACTTTTTAACTCTGTTCAGGGGAAATTCAAGTTTGCTCTACCTTAATTTACCTCCCCTCCAGAGTTGTTTATCATCAATTACGAGTGAACTAAAAAGAATAACTAACTCTATTCAGAGTTATTCTTCTGAATTACTCTGAATTCATATTTTACCCTCAAAAAGCCTTAAAATGAAGAACTCAGACTGAAAATCAACAACAAACTGTTTACTCATTTCACAATTTTATTTTTCAAGCTCCTCTTTAAGCATTACGCTTACACTTAATTCACTTGTCATCGTGAATGTGCCATCTTGTTGTGATCGTAAAAAAAAAAAAAATGAAAACAATACAAAAGGAATAAAAAATATAGTGATAATATCACAGAGGAGATGAAGAAAAATTACATGAAACTATATGGTACAATAACCAAATCTGAATCACAACCATAAGACATCAGAATGTCAAACAACTTGTGGTGCAAAATATCCTTAATCTCCAAAACATAAGGTGCTTCTATAGTATGTGCAACTTTGTAAGCATGGATATGTTCATCTAAACATAATGTTTTTAGTGCAGTTGTCATTAAAAGGACGTGCTCATCTTTAATAACAATATTCTGGATTACATGAAATACAGGTATGTCATTTTGAACTTGAACACAAGCCGCCAACCCTGACCGATAAGTATTTCCACAGTGCTTGACCCATTTCACATTTAGGACCTTAGTCCACATANGGAGCAGTTGCGGCGGCAGGTAGAGCACCTAGGAGCTGCGTTACAAGAGCTGCAGAAGGTCAGGTCATCTTCCCATCCCACGCCATCGGACCTAGCCCTGCGACTAGAGCAGGAGAGAGTAATAGGAAGGAGTGATGATTGTGTATCAGTAGGGCATTACTCTGCAGAAGAGGACAACACAGCAAGAAGGCGTGACCAAACAAGGCGTGACCATACAAGGCGTGACCATACAAGGCGTGGCATCACTCCTGAGCACCGTTACTTCCAACATCAAAGACCAAGTCCAATCGGTGGACGGGAGCAGATGTATCGGGGGCCCACCCCTACTATTCCAGTTATGGCTCACTCTTCCCCTCGGGAGTTTACTCGCCTTCGAATTGCCCTAGAGAATCTTCTTCCCAGTGATGCCTCAGAGAGGTTCAGGTATCAGATTCTTGTTGATCATCTTAAATCGGAAGACGCACTGTTAATTGCTGATTCCTGCAGTCACTCACGTTATCCCTTTACTGATACAATGGTAGCACTCAATCAGCAATATGGACAGCTACACCAGCTGGCACTACAACGTATTGCAGAGCTGATGGATGGTCCTAGTGTTGCTAGCAGTGATGGGAAAGCCTTCCGAATGTTTGCCTTGCGTGTGCGCTCCCTAGTGAGTATGCTGGGTCAATTGTTTTTCCAGAGTTAATTATGCTCAAGGGCGGCATGGTGGTGCATTGGTTAGCACTGTTGCCTCACACCTCTGGGACCTGGGTTCGAGTCTCTGCTTGGGTGGAGTTTGCATGTTCTCCCCGTGTCGTCGTGGGGTTTCCTGTGGGTACTCCGGTTTCCCCCCACAGTCCAAAGACATGCTGAGGCTAATTGGAGTTGCTAAATTGCCCTTAGGTGTGCATGTGTGAGTGAATGGTGTGTGAGTGTGCCCTGCGATGGGCTGGCCCCCCATCCAGGGTTGTTCCCTGCCTCGTGCCCATTGCTTCCGGGATAGGCTCCGGTTCCCCGCGACCCAGTAGGGTAAGCGGGTTGGACGATGGATGGATTATGCTCAATGTACAGTAGTGTTAATATTTTACTCTCTCCTGCGATACTTGACTCTATTTAGTGTATTTTCAAATCAACTCTCGTCCTATTTTACTCAGTTTAGAGCTACAAGAAATTGACTCTTCTACTTTTTAACTCTGTTCAGGGGAAATTCAAGTTTGCTCTACCTTAAT